CATTAACAACTACGTTAGCAAACAAGTAGATACAAATTTCAAGGAAGGTGGCAGAATTTTACCAATTGAAATGCCTGGGTAACTTAAAGCATATTCACCTGGCACTGTAAGGGCTATTATGTAGATGTCAGGTCTTGGGTTTCTGTGGATGGTCAAAAAGAATACAGTTGCCCCCTAGAGGAGCCAAAATCCCGTAATTCCTAGTTTCAATTTAAAAATGAAAACAAAACCAGAGAAGTCTCTAGACCTTGTAAAACCCGAGATACAAGGCAAAATCTGCAGGCCCTCTCCTCATTTATTTTGTGAGAAACTAGCCTGCTCCCACATTTCAGTGTTTTTAGCCAATTGACATTTAGAAAAGTAGACATTTAGATAATTGGACAGTGAAGGTTAGAGTGACACACCCATTGTCTAGAGAAGGTTTTTTTTCTGGTTACGTTTTAAGTCAAAACTCCAAAACAGTATCCCATTCTGCAGTTTCTTGTAGATGCTAAACAACATGGAGGACAGAACTGACCCCTGCAGGGCCCCATACTAAAGGAAGGAGCAATACTCCCCAAGAGCCACTTTCTCGAGCCAGCCAAGTAGGAGCGGAACAGCTACAAAGCGGTGACCCCAATAGCCAACTCAGACAGCCACCCTAGAGCAATACCATGGGGTCATGGGGACTGAAAGCGGCTGAGAGATGAAGAAGGACCAACAGAGTCCCTCTGTCCCAATACAGGTCATCCTACAGGGTGGCCAAAGCAGTTCATCTACCCAAGCCAGGCCTGATTGACATGCGTCTAGAAAACCTGTCTCCTCCAAGAGTACCTGACTCATTGTGGTCTAATGGGGAGGTCTGGCTGGCCTATTTAAGCCCAGGTGCCAAAGATCCCCCACTGTTGCATTAGACTAGAACTGCCAATTGGGCCATAAAGCTGACCCTGGCCAAATTGCGATGTCTTAGCCTAACCTACAGAGAAAACATTTGTGAGTTGGATGGCCTGTTTATGTTGCTCTCAGCTGCTGGGTAAAAAGGTAGATGAGGGGGAGGAAGATACAGTGGAACCTTGGTTCTCAAACGGCTTAGTTGACGAACAAATCAGCTCCCGAATGTGAAAAACCTGGAAGTAAGTGTTCTGGTTTTTGAACGTTTTTTGGAAGCCGAATGTCTGATGTGGCTGTCGGCTATTGTTTCTGGGGCGTCTGCACCAATCAGAAGCTGTGTCTTGGTTTTGAATGTTTTGGAAGTTGAATGGATTACGTTCGAGAGCCAAGGTACTACAATTAGCAGGAGGGAACATTTCTAGATAGCATTAAAGATTCAGCAACTAAAGCATCCCAATTCATTTTACATTTTTACAACTCAACGTGTGAATTCCAAACAGTTAGTAAAATACAGCCCTGAATTCTCAAACAAATGTAATGGATTCTGGAAACAACCACGGTGAAAAGATCTTCCAGGCATGAGTCAATGGAAAGCCATTACAAGGATTTCCAGTTTTGCTAATCATTTGGTGACTAACACTGCTCTGCAAATTCAAGATGACCTCCTAATTCCAGGAAACCTGGGTGGCTACCCAGAAATAGAACATATATGGAAAAAAGGAAGAGAAAACACTAATTTATTATTTACTTATTAAATTGATACACTGCCCACCCTCCCCAAGAAACCAAGGGCGGCAAACAGATAAACAATTTACAAACAAAAACAACACAGAAACATTCTAAAACAAACTGAGATGTTCTAAGATCAATGACAATTAAAAACATCTAAAAGCAGTTACAGCTGAAAACATTCCAAAAGCAATTGCAATGAAAAACATCCATCCATCCAATGATCTCAAGGTGGCTGGGAACAGTATTAGGGAGCAATCCTGTAGCAAGATCTGCCAGGATGAGTGGGGTTAGGATCCAATGGATCTCTTGCTGAGCTTAGAGGTTCACAGCACAGCTATGCTGGCTTAACTCCCTCATCCTCTGCTCAACTGGAGATATGCTGTTATAGCTCCCACATCCTGGTTCAGTGGCTATTAAATTGGCACAAACCCTGAAAATGAGACATTTGGGGGGAAGAACCGGGGGGGGGGGAGAGGCAGACTTAGACTGGATCCTAACCCCGTTCAGCTCGGTCTTGTGACCTGGCACCCGGCAAACAGAGTAGTGTAACTCAAACTCTTATTTTAAAGGCTTGCTTTCCCTCTGTCAGACTTTGGCTGAGTGAGCCAGCAGTAGCCCTGCTCCTGAACATTTGGGTGTTTGGATGTGGTGCATTTTACACTGACTTAACTTACACTAGGCTTGCCTTATGCCTGTTTCTTGTGTGTAGGATTGTTCCTTTCGTCTGGAAGATATTGCAGACCTTTACCCAGTTGGGAAAACACGCCCTGATCTGCACTACATTTCCAGGGCAGAGACAAATGTCTTTATTAAATAGTTAAAATACTTGGGCAATGAATGTGCTTAACAAATGCATATCCCGTTTTCTCATCCTCATTGTAAGGTCAGTGCAAAATGCCAATGTTTGCAGAATGGGTGTGTATATGTGTGGATAATTCCGTTATCAGCCAGCAATTGTTCCAAACAAGAAGGCCTTTCTGAAACTCCGTAATCCTATTATATGCTGGCTACATATAATTGGCGCTCCTGAAGTATTTACCTGCAGAAGACGGCATATAACTGTGCCTTGTTGAACCGGTTTGCAGGCCAATGTGACAGCTTCAACATTTGCCATGACTACAGTTGAGCCCTGCTCAGTAAGTACAACAGACCAATGTCTGTCATTAAAGATGACATTCTGATCTATAGAGGTAATGCATCTTCCATCATAAAAGCAGGTGTTCTACGTACCTGGTAAACCCTAAAATCCATGTACATTGGGAAAGGATAATGGATAAGATTTAGGCTACAATCCTAAATCACCTTTCCTAAGAGTCCCATTGAATTCAATACGACATACTTCTGAGTAGACATGGTTTTCAGTCATGAAATCAGTGTGACTTAAGTTTGTTATCACTCAAAATTCCATGCACAGATATGCAGATTAGAAAAAAAAATGTGCACGAAATGTGTACAAATTCTCAGGCAGGCTTTATGATTATGATTATTTATTAACGTTTGCAGGCTTCTGCAGAAATGGGGCACATAGAATTTAAGACTAGGGGAAAAATGTGTTACTGAGAGAAACCAAAGTTGACAGATCCAACCACCTGATCTGCTCTCTCTCTTTCACTTTCTGTCACCTCTGCTTTTCTTTTTTAGAAAAGGTATTGTACAGGGTGGAGATAATGGTAGGAAATACATATAATTTGGTGTCTCTGCTAAGTCAATGAAATAGACCTTCCTTATCTTTTCCAGTCTTCCTTCTGAGTCAGTGCAGTGGGGCTAATTCCCAGGTATAGGAGTGTATTGTGCATAAAACTTTGCTCCATATTCGGCAATGGAGTTTGGCTAACTTTTTTTTTTTTTTAAAGACACTTTCTTTTTCTGTTCAGCTCAGCAAACTGCACTCTGACAAAAAAAGTGCTTACTCACTTCCTCTCTGCTCTTCCACAGACGGTTCTCAGAGGAGATACTACTGCTCAAAGACTTGGGTGAGGCGATTTTTTAAAAAAAAACAAACTGTGCGAGGCAGGATTTTTCACATTCTTTCCTTCTTCTGCATGCTTAAATTTGGAAAGAGGCAGATCTTGATAAACATAAAATACGCCACATACTAGGAGTGACCTGGAAATATAATTTGTGAAAAATGCAAGGCATGAGCAATCTCCTTGGAACTCACAGAAGAGGGGGAGGGAACCTAACTTGGCTGTATACTAGAATTATTCATCAAACACAATGTTTGAACTGTGCTAAGCTTTCAGCAGGAAATACACAAAGTCTTGTTATCTTCAAGGGAAATAAAAGAACTTGCTAGCAATAAGCTCATCTTGCTTAAATCTTTTTTTCCCAGGGTAAAAATACTTTTCGTACATGATTTCTATCTGCTGCTGAAAGTGAGCAAGACAACTTGAAGAGAACCGTGTGTGTGTGTGTGTGTGTGTGTGTGCAAGAAAAGGAAATGGAAGCACTCAAGCCCCGTTTTCACTTTCAAAGCAATGTCATCTCATGTTAAACCAGTGGTTCTCAAAGGCTATGGCATGCCACACTCGTGTGGCAAGAGAGGATGGCAAGTGTGATGGAAAGATTCAAGTACAATCAAATAAACGTTTAATTGTTTCAGTGTAATATAGTATGTTGTTGTTGGTATCTGCCTGTCTTGAGAGAGAGAGAATGGAGTGCGCCTCAAGGGGTGAAGTCAAACGACTGAATTAGTAGCACCAAAGTGACCTTTCTGGGGCACAAGCTGGGGCAGTGTGGATGGAGGTCCTGGGCTGCCCAGGCAACAAGACCCCCATCTTGGCCTCACTGAAATGCTCCAAAGGAAAGCAGAGCAGTGTTTGGCACCAGCTTGGCTGCAGGAGTTGCCAGAAGAAGACATACAAGGCCAGCAGCGGAGCAGGCCTCTCAGGCATTTGGGCGGCGTGACCAGGGGCGGGGCGAACTGCTCATAGGGGCAGGACATGGTGCCCACAGGGGTGTGGCACGCGGCGCACATAGGGGCACGCAGGCACGCAGCGGGGCCTCAGCCACCCTACAGTTGGAGGGAGGCACGAGCGGACAGTGTGGAGCCTGTGGGTGCAGAGACGTGTGGCTCGTGCACGCTGCAGGCCCCACAGTGACGAGTGCCGCCCACCTTTTTGTCACCCCACGTCAGGGTGACACCCAGGGCAGACCACACCCTTGCACCCCCCTTGCACCCCCCTGTACAAGGCACCATCAAGCCGTTTTAGGGACTCCACTCTGGATTTGTGTGAGGTTTACTCCTCAGTTTTTTCTTCTCAGGAATTTTTTTTTTACTCAAGAAATGAAAGTAAGATTGTTCTCCACTTACATTTGTATTGTAAAATTGATGTTGCGTCTTTTTTTTAACTTATTTTTTTTTTAAACCACATAAGGTACACTTGATTGGGTTTTTTAAAATATAGTTTTATTGATTTCCTATATACTGTATAACATTTACAAAAAAGAGAAAAAGATACAAAAACAAAATCCCAACTCCCCCACCCCCCTTTCCAGGACAGATCAATCTAGTTAAGTTTGCCAAAGTCCAATCTGTGATTTCGTTAGGTGCCATTCTTCAGAGTTATCAGTAAAGTACCGTATTTTTCGTCCCATAGGGCGCACCGGCCCATAGGATGCACCTAGTTTTTTTGGGGGGGGGGAATAAAGGGAAAAATTTTTTCCTTTATTTCCCCCCCAAAACCAGGTTGGGGAATCCAAACCAGGTCGGGGAACAGCGGGAGGGTGGCGCTTCACCTCCCCGCTGTCCCCCGAGCTTGTGGGGCTGGCGCTGGGGAGAAGCGCGCTTCTCCCCAGCACCAGCCTCCAAACCAGGTCGGGGAACAGCGGGAAGGCGCGCTGCGCCTCCCCGCTGTCCCCCGAGCTTGTGGGCTGCAGGCTGCTGCCCGCAAGCCTTGCGAGCCCACGGGAACTCCCGCCGGGCTTGCAAGGCTTGTGGATAGCTTCAGCGAAAGCCTGCATTCGCCCCATAGGACGCACACACATTTCCCCTTCATTTTTGGAGGGGAAAAAGTGCGTCCTATAGGGTGAAAAATACGGTATTTTATAGAAGGATGGCATGTTCCAACAAAATTGTCTACATCACTTGTATTATTCTATGCATGTAATCTCTTGGTTACTTTTTCTGATACAGCAATAGACCATACATTGTTTCCAGTGAGAAATCCACAGATGTTCCAATTTTGTGCCACTACTAGAAGAAAAACATTTAGTTCTTTATAATAAAGGTCAGGTGTCCCTTCTTTAAAAAATAGTTAACAATCCCAAACTTGGGGTACATTCCACATGTTGACCCATAATATAGCTTATTTCTGTAAACACCTTCTGCCAGAAGGGATTTATACGTTCTCACGTCCACATGTGAAATGTTGAGGTACACTTGATGGTTATACAAACACATGATGGTCCGTGCATTATCCCAGCAGCAGAAGTCCAGTACAGGTGTCCAGCCACACTATCAGCTGCTGGTGCAAAGGATCACCCATTGGTGTGAGCTGGCAGGAACCATGCCAGAGAAGCCATTCATTACTGATCAGGAAAGAGGGAGTGCTTCAGGGATAAGTCTTTTGGCCATTTGGCAGTGTGAGCCAGCCACCTCAGGCTGCTGATCTGGAGTGTCATAAAAGGGCAGCAAAAATATTGTTGGTTCATTATATTACTATAGTATTGCTGCTGCTTACGGGATTTTCTGCCTCAGGCACCAGAATGACTTCACCTAACTTTGGGTGCTATACTATGTGCCTTGACTGGGGCGGTGGATTTCTTTGGTCAGCCAGCAAGAATGTATTGGGCTGGCCAATTGCCTAATCATCTGGTGACCAATGGAAACCCAGACACTTCCTCCTTCGCCTCCTGCAATCCATGTATAAACTCCACCCTTGTGATTAGATTATCTTTGTTAAGGCATAACTGGTTAGCGAGTTATGAAATTGCCTGGCTTCTGAGTAGGACATACCAAAGCCGGCCAATTGTGTTTTATACTGCACACTTGTGGAGTGAATGATATATGTAGTGTGGACATGGAGGGAGCTGCTTAAACTAACACACTCCAGTGCACAGGCAGACTCCTCCTCCATTCAGTGTCAGGCTATCAGCAGCAACAAGGAGCTTCTCCTGTTTCTTCTGCTGTGCTGGGAGGCCACCCTGCATCCCCGAAAGCCAGGCAGGGTGATCAGCATTCCTCCCTCTGATTGCTTAGCAACAGTGATTAAGCATCCTTATCAAGAGTCGCTTCTCTGTATCTGCCTTAGAATGCTGCCTCCATGTTTTGCTTTGTTCGTTTGATGTCTGATTGTCCAGCTGACCTGCTTTTTAAAAATACGAAAGCTCAGAGTCCAGGCTCCCTGTTGGCTCATACTTCCTGTCAGCTTCTTTGGTCATGATCTTCACTACTACAGGGATAGGTATTGCATTTCTATTTAAATTACCAACATTATTTCTAAATTTGCACAGATACATAGAAATTAGCACATCGAGAAACTTATGCAAATCGGTGACTTCCTTTTTTGGCGATGCTTTTTTTTTTTGCAGTGCTGTTACAGGCACAGGATCATAAAAAAGGTTGGTGTCTCTTTGTAAAATACATGATTTGTTGGTTTATTTTTAAAACCCAGCATGTATCTCTATGACCACTGAGCTGCTAAATACAAGCATGCTTAAGATCTAAGATTATAACGATGGACTGTAAAACTTCTCAGGCAGATTTCAAACTTCCACTATTCATTTTCAGAAATGTAAGCAATGGTGTGTTGTATATTTTACGAGTACTCCATTAATCAGTGCAGAATGCTGCCTGTGTGTCATCCAAATGGTGGTCTTTATTTGCTATATGGTGATGTAAGCATCCTTTTTTAAAACAACAACAACAACAGCACCTTTTTTTTCTAGTCGTGAGGTCAGCAGAGGAAAATTAGCAAAACACAGACATGTGTAACTTAAAATGTTCCAGGTTTCAGGAGAGACGTAGCTGAAATTATTATGCAGCCATTGCATTAACTGGGCCATGGATGTGGGGCTGGAATCAACACATTCCTCTTGATTTAGTGCAGCAGTGCAGTACCTGTGGTCCTCCAGCTGTTGTTGGCCTCCAACACCCATCTGCCCCAGCAAGTATAGACAATGGTCAGGGATTATGGCTCCATCATCTCCAGCAACACCTGAAAAATCACAGGTTTCCCATCACACTTAGTGCCTCAAGCCTTGTTGCTAGCCTCTTACTAGGTAAAGGTAAAGGGACCCCTGACCATTAGGTCCAGTCGTGACCTACTTACTAGGTAAGCAAAGGATATTTTTGCTCTCTGTTACAAAAGAGGGTGATGTGTGGGGAGGAACAGGGGGAGATTTCAGCACAGATGCTATGTTGGTTTTGTTTTAAATACTGAAGGTACATATTCCTACGTACTGGTTATGTATCTTTCCACACTGCAGAATAAAGCAAACATTGCTGGCTGTTTTGGAAGCCAGGAGTTTGTGAACAGGGACAAGGTAATATCTGAGCCATAAATGGAAATATTTATGGCATCTCATGAGGTGATGTCCATAAATGAAGAAGACTTTTCTAGGACAGAGTGCATAAGAGTGTGGTGTTTGGAAATTGTGACATGCTTGATGCTGTTGCAATTGCTGACGGCATTGCTGGGAGAGTGTTCTTGGCTAGGTGACAATAATATGATGAAGATGGAATGGTGGCTAAGAAAGTAAATCTCTAAAGATTTAAACTGGTTTCACAGGAATTCCCTCTCCCCAAGGAATCTTGGGGAGAATCAGCCAGTATGGCCAATGACCAGGTCTGATGAGAACTGTAGACTAATAGTATCAGGAGTTCCCCACACATGGCAGTCAAACAAGTATAAAAGCAATATAACGATTTCAGGACCATATGACACCAGTCCTGAAAGACCTACATCGGCTCCCAGTACATTTCCAAGCACAATTCAAAGTGTTGGTGCTGACCTTTAAAGCCCTAACTGGCTTTTGGCCATGCATACCTGAAGGAGCATCTCCAACCTCATCATTCAGCCCAGACACTGAGGTCCAGTTCCAAGGGCCTTCTGGCTGTTCCCTCATGGCAAGAAGGGAAGTTACAGGGAACCAGGCACAGAGCCTTCTCAGTGGTGGCACCCTCCCTGTGGAATGCCCTCCTGTCATATGCCAAGGAGTTAAGAAACTATACAACCTTCAGAAGACAGTGGAAGTTTTTTGAAAAAAAATGTTTACTGTTTTATTATGTTTTTATATGTGTTGGAAGCCACCCAGAGTAGCTGTGGCAACCCAGTTAGATGGGCAGGATACAAATAATAAAATATTATTACTATTACTATTATTGTTGTTATTATTATTCATGGTACAGTTCGACGAGAAGCACCGTTTGCCACCACCAGGTGGTGGTGGACTACAACTCCCATTGGGGGGCTACAGCCTCATCCAAAGGTTTCCAACCAGATCAGCCAGTTTTCCTACCCCCAGTGCCTTCACCTTGTCTGGATTATGATCCAGCTTCTTTGCCCTCATCCATCCCAAAACTGCCTCAAGGCATCTGGAGGGAGCAGCTGGGGAATGGATCAAAATGTCAGAATGGCCACATGTGAATATCAAGTGCACAGCATGCAGAGGATGTCTGAGGTGCTTTGCAAAACACACGTTTCATAATAACACCTGAATAGCCTCTGCTTACAAAGAGGCACATGCATATGTGGTCACTTTCTGACCACATCCCTTTATTTTTTTGCATCCTGTCAGGAAGGGATTGATGATAATGACACAGCTGCTTAAATGCAGAAGCCCCAAGCTTCAATCCCTAGGACCTCCAGGCAAGACTGGGAGACACCCCTGTTGGAAATCCTGGAAGAGAGGCTGCCAGTCAGTGCAGACAGTGCTAAGCTAGGTGGGCCTATGATCTGCCATGGTATAAGGCAGCCTCCTTTATTCCTGTTAAATGACCATAGTGCCCTTGAGTGACAGACTATCAAGCAAGTCTCAAGCATCTCATTTTTTTTTCAAGGGTTCTTCATTAGCTCTTCCAGCTCCTTCATTTATTCCATTTCAATCTGTCAACACTAGATCCATATTTTTTTATTTTTAAAAAAATCTATATGTGAATGTGGGAGGGAACAGAACCAGAAGCTGGCGTTTTCTTTATTGTTGCTAGAGCAGCAGGTTTTTTACCTTGGAAAATACAAATTGCTATTTATACTGTATGCCAGTTTCTCTCTGTCGGCAGTGAGATTTGTATATCAGCACTGCCAATATACAAATTAAGGCATGAGTGATTCTTCCTCCTCTGCACATATTATCTGGATCCTGGGCAAAGGGAACGTGGCAACCAAATTTGGGTTGTCTCTTCACAGAACAGCATATGCTAACCAAACTTTAAGACATGTTTTAAGCTCTGGGCCCAAAATGCCAGATCATACCCCAAACTATTGTGCGATTTCCTAACCCAAAAACACTAAGCTCATTTTATGATTTGAGCCTTATAACATTGACAGCTTTTATGCTATTCGGTACATGCTGCCGCAGTGATCTTGCTTTGCGATGCGTTTTTAAATTGAGATTTGAGTCACGGAAAATCAAACATGGCTATGTAAGTTTAGTTGTGTTTATTTTAGCTTCATAGCTCAAGGCAGGGCCGAACTGGACCCTGGCTATCCAGAAATGTTTATTGAGCTTCACAAGCCCATTTTCTATTTACAAAAATGTCTTCAGAATGAAATGAGAGTCAGGACTGCCCTGGCTACAAGTGATAAACACATACACACAAAAGGGTATGAATAAGGGGTTGGGGAGCTGGAGCTGCTTGGCATTTTGATGCAGTAATATGGCTACTTGTAGATCTGATACAGTGATTAATGACCCTGGACCAATCACTGCCTCTCAGCCTAACCTACCTCACAGGGTTGTTGTTAGGATTAAATGAAGATGGGGAGAACCATGTACACCACCTTGGGCTCCTGGGAGAAAAAGGTGAGATATAAATGCAATAGAAATACACAGCACTTTTTTCCCCAGCGGGAACTGGCCAGAACTCAGTTCCAGCACCTCTCAGGTGGGCACCATTGCCATTATAAGAGAACAAGGGAGGTGTTCATGTTGGGTTCCAGCACCTCTTTTTCTAGAAAAATAGCACTGGAGATATTATATTATATTATATTATATTATATTATATTATATTATATTATATTATATTACTTACCAGAATCCATTCTGGGAGTCCGTTCGACCCCCGAAACCATTCAAAAACCAAGGCACGGCTTCCAATTGGCTGCAGGAGCTTTCTGTACTCCCAAGCCGCATCGGACATTCAGCTTCCAAAAAACGTTTGCAAACCAGAACACTTACTTCCGGGTTTGTGGTGTTTGGGAGGCAATTTGTTTGGGAGTCAAAACATTCAAGCACCAAGGTACCACTGTATAATAGAGGTAGTCATAAAGATGATATGGAACTTCCAGGTTAAGAAAGAGTAGTGTTGTGAATAGCCATTGCTGAGGAACATCAAGAGAAAGCTGTTGGGTTCATGCTTGTACAAGGTATGTACCTAGATGCAAGAGATTCAGCTTCAAATGGAGACAAGGACATAGCGTCCCGACACAGCAGTTCAAGCTACTGGCACCAGGCATGGGGACAGTTGGTAGATGGCAAAGGATAACAAGCATCATGTGGACCATTCTGTGGGGGCAGCAGCTGCCCTGCTGATAACCAGTTCCCTGACTTTCATTGTAAGCAGATTGCATGTTTGAATCTGAGATCCAAACTGGCTTGGTGGTGATCTCACCCAAAGTTTTGCACACAGCCTTGAGATGAGTACTTCGCTGCAAACTATGCTCAGGACATGAAAACGAGATGCTCTTTGTGGAGGCTTTTTGCACAGTATGGAACTGTGAAGTCTGTTGACTTTTTGCAGTATGGTAGCGCTGCAGAGAGCTTGCTGGGGAGACCATGCATTAAAAAGGGACTCAAAAATAACTTAAACAAGGTTTTAATAAGAAAAACAAAAACTCCTTTTACACTAAATACATTAACAAACAAACATGACCCAACCACCAACCCATCCCCCAGGGTAATGGGAGAGCTAGGTGCTGCTCCTTATATACTACACCCAATTACCAACACAGCTTAATCAATACAACTCAGCAGCACCTGCTATGTTTCACAGCTGTAAAGCTGGGTCTCGTTATTTTGCTCTGGCCCTTTCTCTGGCCCCTTAAAGACATACACATCGAGTGGAACAATGATGAACCTTTACATATTAAACCATTCAACATTTCCCTGCGGTTCATCATTGTGGAACAAAAACATAAAGCATACTTTGTACATGTTTTTCATGTATACCTTTTGGAAGTGCTTTAGTAAAAATGTCTGCAATTTGATTGTCACCTGGAACATATTTAAATACAACCATTTCATCAGCAATTAGTTTCTTTACAAACTGTAAACGTAATCTTAAGACTTTAGTGCGCTGCGTATTGGTTTCTGAACATAGGATAGCGAGTCCACTCTGGGAATCAAGGTAAACTTTTACTGGTAGTGTTACTTGCATCTGTAGGTCTGCGAATACTTGCAGATACCATTCCACATCACGAGTGGCCTGAACGCATGCACATAATTCACTCTCTGTTGTGGAGAGGCAAATAATGGTTTGTGTCTGGGACTTCCATTCAAATGGACAACCATTATAACAAAACACCATACCAGACACACCCCTGCAATTATTTTGTTCCACTGCATGAGATGCATCACAGAAAATTTCAAAACCTTTGTCAATACATGTTGTAAACTGCAACCTATAATGTTTGGTATGTTTAAGGTACATTACCACTCTCTTAAGAGCAGAGAAACATTGTGTAGTGGGCTTTTCCACAAATTTTGCCAGAAAGTGAAAGGCATAAGTTATATCTGGTCTTGAGATTCTTTGAATGAAATTTAGCTTGCCTATAGCAGAACGATACAAAGTTTTGTTAGGAAATGGCTTATCTTCACCTGTAAAAGTGAAACCACACACCATGGGCGTTTCCTTCCCATTTGCATTTTCTAAACATAGCATTTCAACAAGATCGTCAATTTTTGCAGTTTGATGAACCAGAAAAGATCCATTTTTGCCTTTCTCAATTTGCATGGATAAGTAATTTTTAGCTATGCCTAATTCCACCACATCAAATTTCTTCTGTAACTGTGTTACTACCTGTTCATATTCCTGTTTAGTTTTTGTAGAAATTAACACGTCATCTACATAGACACATATTTTTGCTACAGAGTTTGCTCTTTCCTTTATAAACACACAATTGTCTGCCTTTCCCTGTGAAAAACCAATATCCAGCAATTCTTTTGCTAAAGTTTGATGCCAATTCCTTCCACTTTGGTGCAGACCATAAAGGGATTTATTTAATTTGCATACCAAACCTTCAGCGGCGTCTATGCCTTCAGGGACACGCATAAAAATTTGTTCTTTTAAATCTGCAAACAAATATGCAGTTTTTATATCTAGGTGATAAACAGAATGTCCACGTTGTGATGCATCTTTTAACAAAAGCTTAACTGTTTCATATTTTACACTTGGTGAATAACACAAATCATAATCTTCGCCTGGAATTTGTTGAAAACCCCTAGCAACTAATCTTGCCTTGTACCTTACAACTTCATTTTTGTCATTCATTTTAACTCTATAAACCCATTTTGAATCAATAAGTCTCATATCTGGGGTTTGTGGTACAAGAGACCAAGTGTTATGCTCTTTTAAAGAAGCTATTTCAGAGTTCATAGCTTTATACCAATTTACAGCTTGGTGCTTAGGTAAATTCTGAACATCATTGTAGCTTTTGGCTCAAAAACTGCCTTATTGGCATACACAGTATTAAAATGTTCATCTGCAAAACGTTGTGGCTTCTGTCTCTTTCTATCTGAACGTCTCAGTCCGGAAGGAGAGTCAGACTCCTCAGACTTAATGGGACTATGTAAACTACTAGTTTCAGGTTGTAAATCATCATTGTCAGACTGAAGAGATGCCTGTTGGCTAAGCTCACGGTCAGAAAACTCAAGAGAATCTAACCTCCCTCGGGTGCCTGTGACTTTAAATCATCAAAGAAATTATCAGATTCAACAGGCTTTTTGTCTTCTTCCATTAATTCAGAAGCACCATTTCCTGCTGCTGCTGCTGCTTCTTCTACCTCTTCTTCCTCAGTATTATCTATACCATTACTATCTTGGAAAACAGCAACACCATTCCAATTTACAGTTTGTATCATGCTTCTGGTAATATGAAATTTGCCAGTTGCTGGTATGTAAATTCTGTACGCCCCTGCTGGTAGCCCATTAATTTTCCCTGGACACTACGTTCACCCAATTTCTGCTTAGCGGGATAATGCATTATTACATCTGAACCCCAAATGCGTAGGTATTTCAGATTAGGGCGTTTTTAAACAGCTTCTCATAGGGGGTGACATCTAAACCAGAATGATAACTGCGATTTCTAACATAACAAAAGGCATTGAGCGCTTCAGCCCAAAAGTCTTTGGGCAGATTAGCATCATGCAGATAAGTTTTAACCCCTGCCTGCAGGTCACGCTGCACAACTTCAACAAGCCCATTTTGCCAGGGACTTCGGGGCAAGATAACTCATGAGTAGTCCCCTGCGCTTCCAGGAATTTCTCAAAATCCTCAGAAACAAATTCCCGCCCCTGTCAGAAAAAAGGTTCTTAATAGGTTTGTTAAAATGTGTTTTTACCCAGTTGCAAAAAAAACTTTGTACTTCTCAAATGCTTGGGACTTCTCAGCTATTGCATAAGTCCAACAATATCTACTATACTGGTCTATCAGGGTAAGCCAGTACTTAGAACCTCCTAAGGATGGTGGGAGTGGCCCAACTAAATCACAATGTACACGCTCAAATGGCTCAGTTACTTTCCTATCTGAGCACCTACCCTTGCGTGCAACCTTAATCTTATTCTTGCAACAGGATAGACATTGCATAAAGAATTTACATGGTTTTAAGTTGAGGCCATTAACAATATTCTTGGTCTTAATTACATCAGCAAAATTCAGATGTCCCAGAATTCTGTGCGCCTCATGGACACACCCAGAATGTGGCCTTACATTCCTCAACCCCTGGCTTGACTGTGCTGCTCTGCAATTTATAGGCGATTGGGAGTAGGTGCGAAAATACAGTCTATATAAACCATCAGATTCCCGGGCATACAATAGACGTTTGTTCCCCTCGAAAAACTCACACATTGACTTTAAGAAACGCACAGTTATGCCTTGACGAGCAAAACACCTTACTGACAATAAATTGTCCACTGATGGGCAGTAAATGCAGTTCGCTATAGTAATGTTTAAAGAGTCAAGTTTAACAGTACCCCTGCCAAGCGACTGCAAGACTTGTGAATTGGCTAAATGTACATTACCAATTTCCTCTTCGAAAGAAATAAACAAGCTTCGATCGTTGCAAACGTGCTGAGATGCTCCTGAGTCCACAATAAAAGAATTCCACTTGGCACCTTTAATTCTTTTACGATCTCTTGTGCTAGCGTGAAAAGCTCGCGGCTCGTTTCTGTCTTTACGGTACGATGCCGGCTGCTGAGCTGACGACCGTGACTGACGAACAGAAACAGACTTGGGAGTACTTTGCTTTCTTTTGGATCTGCAGTCCTTTGCAAAATGTCCTTGCTTATTGCAGAACCAACAACGCTTTGCAGCTTTAAATGCAGTTGTATCACCACAAGTTTGCATATGGCGTTCCTCATTCTTTCTGGAAATAGGAGTGCTTATGGCACAAGCCTCCCTTCTGTCCAACTCGCCCATTAATCTTGCCGTTACCCCTTCCACAGTTAATTGTGCTGGTGGAACGGCAGATATCTGGCTAGCTATACCATCAAAGTCCTCATTAAGGGAACAAAGGATGATGAAAACATACTGAATATCAGGTATCTCCATGTCCCTTCGAATTAATTCGCCGCGTATTGCCTCCAGACGTCTCAAGTGTGCTGCCAAATCACCACCAGGCTGCAACTCGTCTGGTACAACTGCTTGAAAACGTCAATGCAGACGCTGACTCTTTTCTAACATGCACTGCTGCAAGACTGTCCCACATTTCTTTGGCAGTTTTCTTATTTCTTATATAGACTACTTGCTGGTCGCTGACTGCCAAATTAATTATCGCCCTGGCTTTCGCATCTCCTTTCGACCAAGCATTAGTCACAGGGTCAGGAGGGTCATCAGTTACATAGGTCCATACTTCTCTAGAGGTCAAAAGCGCCTCCACCCGAAAAGACCATAAACTATAGTTCTCATCTGTCAGCTGTGGGAAGACCAGAGCCTTCTCAGCTTCAGGAACCCGGTCAACCATTCTGGAACTCTTCCAGACCCACAGAACTACGCTAACAGGAGAAGGAGTTTTCAAACCTTTCTCAGAGTCCAAAAATATGCAGTCATCCACTCAGCAGCTGGGCCCATAACCAAAGATGTTGACTTTTTGCAGTATGGTAGCGCTGCAGAGAGCTTGCTGGGGAGACCATGCATTAAAAAGGGACTCAAAAATAACTTAAACAAGGTTTTAATAAGAAAAACAAAAACTCCTTTTACACTAAATACATTAACAAACAAACATGACCCAACCACCAACCCATCCCCCAGGGTAATGGGAGAGCTAGGTGCTGCTCCTTATATACTACACCCAATTACCAACACAGCTTAATCAATACAACTCAGCAGCACCTGCTATGTTTCACAGCTGTAAAGCTGGGTCTCGTTATTTTGCTCTGGCCCTTTCTCTGGCCCCTTAAAGACATACACATCGAGTGGAACAATGATGAACCTTTACATATTAAACCATTCAACAAAGTCTGCAGCACTAGAACAGGCCAGATGTGCCTCAGTACCACTAAAATAATGGGACTTGAGCACACCCGACTCTCTGTGAGCTGCGCTGGTGTTATTTGGAGGAACTGCGGTGGAAGAGATATTTTAGGTTTGCAACTGCAGCCAAGTTAGCATTGCTGATGCCATTCTTAGCCAATTTCCACATAACTCTGAAGTGTAAATGAGCCATGCAGGAGTTAAACGGTGCCAAAGACAGAGGCACTTCCTATGGCAATACAAAGCTGTCTTAGTAATCTCATGGCAACAGCTGCTTTTTTAAAAAAAACAACTGTGACATGAAACTTCCATTCTAATATTAGATAGGATGGAGCTGAGAGCTCCCTTGATCCACTCTAATTACTTGATATCAAGACAAAAGGGGATTAGCACTTATTAAAATTGATAGGCTGTGCTGCACAATGTTGGTGCCATCCTGTCTCAGCCACCCCCAATGAGCCCTGGAAAGCTGCGGTCTTGCTTCTTCCTTAAAATCAGGAACCAGGAAACAAACCTAATTGCCAGTAATAACAACATGAGAAGAGTCCTGCTGGATCAGGCCCATCTAGTCAGACATCCAGTGCTCACAGTGGCCAACGGGATACCTGTGAGAAGCCCACAAGCAGGAGCCAAGTGCAGCAGTGTTTTCCCCACTCCTCTTCATCAGCAGATGGCATTCAGAAACCGACTGCCCTCTGAATAAGGCCTAGAACAGAGGGATGGAAGTGGATCTGGCTGACGGTCTAAGCCCTGATCTTCTCCATCCTCCTCAGACCAAGTGGGCGGGGTCACCTACCTGCCAATCACCTGATATCAGGCGCAAGCTCCCCAGAAAGTGCTCTGTGAGCACTTCAGCCTTCATGAAGTCTTCAAACAGGAGTGGAGAACCTGCGACCCTCCAGGTACTGTGGGGCTTCAGCTCCCATCAGAGGCGCCATCTTGTGCCCAAGACTGAGGGGAGGGGCGGCGCGTGGAGCATGTGTGTGATGTCATGCACCCAGTGCTTGTCACGTGTGTGTGATGTCATGTAAACATGACATTGCGTTATCAGGAGGAGGCCCAGTGTGGAGCAGATTCCTCTCTCACTCAGGAGACGCCAGCCACTGAACTCAGCCTCTGCTCAGCCTTCTCCGTTTCCTCAACATCGAGGGGGTCTGGCCCCCTGCCAGCAGATACTGAGGGGGCTAAAGACACCTTTGCCCCTAGGAGTTGGCATGCCTGGCTCCCATCATCCCTGCCCTGCCCAGTGCCCATGCTGACTGGGGCTGATGGGATTTGGAGTCCAACAACATGCGGAAGGCCAAAGGTTCCCCGCTCCTCAGAGTAGCCAGCCCAGTCATTCCCAAGCTGTGTACTGGAGAAAATAAGAATCTGAGTTGTGAATGAGCTGCTGCTGCTGTACCATAAGATCAATGTTCCTCTGAGACTCTGATCGCAACTCCTTCCAGTTAGTCTCTTAAACAGGCAGCAGATTTTGCCATGTCTCTGCGCTGGAAAGGATGGAATGATTCCACCACACTTGATACAAAGAGGTGTTTTTATGGCACTACTCTTTTATTCAGCATGCTTTAGTTTGGCTGCTATTATTTGTTTTGTGATTAACGTGTTTACAGGGTGTTTTGACGATACTAAGCCACCTTGGGCGCAATTTGCAGGAAGGGGGCTGATGAGCTTTAAAAACAAATAAAGGAAAGAAATGTGTCATAATAACCTGGCCTCAGAGAAGGTCACAGTTGCCTGCTCTCAGAAACCCTCTTGAGGCTTTGGCCATAAAACACAGAGGGGGGAGGGCAGATGCAAAACCTGCCCCAAACACCCCCAGAAATGCATGCATCATGTGTAGGACCAAAGAGGGTTTCCAAGCACATTCTATGGAGCATGCTTAGAAATCATCTACAGACCTTGGGCTACACATGCTAAAGTGTGAAGAGGAACCTGCAAACCTGAGGATGTGGAGGGGGCAATGGTTTGCATTTGGGCCTCTGCCCCCCTCCTCTTGCCAGTGCCTCCAACTGAAGGCAAAACCAGCATTCTGCTTCAATCGGAAGCCCCTCCAAGTTTCCAGCTGTCGCTGTAAATCTCATTGGCTGGCGGCACATATTTTCTCTTATGTTGGGATCTATTTTAAGATCACCTAGTATCCATGACAGGTTCACACTTCACTTTGTTAGGGCCAAGCCAGACATTACATGGCAGATGCAGGTAAGAGTTTCCTGGCTTTTTTAAAAAATGGAAATCAGCCGCAGGACACTGTCAGCTTAAGTGGAGGGACAGCGGGTTGGGAAGACTGTGCCTTCACTCTTCCTGGCTGCGTTTCCATCCCGGGGACGGAAATATGAGTAAGGAGGGCAATTTTAAGTAGAGAAGTGCCTGGAATGAAAGGAGTGAAGCAGTCCCCTCACCCCAGTTGCCCTGGCTTCCAGTTGCTGAAGGATTCGAACTCAGAGTTGGAAGGGACCATGAGGGTCACCTAGTCCAACCCCCTTCAGTGCAGGAATCTTTTCCCCAACATGGGGCTCAAACCCATAACCCTGAAATTAAGAGGCCACAGCTCTATTGACTGAGCAATCCAGGCCCTAAAGCTTTTAATGCTTAAATCAGTGTGATACATATGCAAAATGCTAGTACAGAAGGCGAAACCTGCTCCATCTGGTCACACCTCCAGTGGCATCTCTGGGCCCTAAGTAACAAAGTAGATGTCTCTGCCTCCTGACAGGTGGACAGGGCAAGTGCAACCTCTCTGGAGAGGTAGGGCTAGGCCCACTACCTGACAGATGGGCAGTCACTATGGGTGTGTCAGAAATGGGCTCCAACAGCTCTGGGGAGGGAGGTGGGGCTTGTGACTATCCCCGCGGTGATTGGTTGAGTGAGAAAGCTGGTTGTGGCAACTCATCACCACCACTTGGTCCTTCCCTAGGATCCTTAGTATCAGGTTTCTCAATGTCCTTGGCAAGCCACCCAACTTCATAATCCTGACTCAGCCAGCTCATGATACCTGTGTCTCTTAACTCAACAGGGTAGCATCTTGTGACTGCTTTTTTACTTTAAAATAATACTACAAATAATACTAGGAGATTAATGCTAGATTAATGGCTTATGGTGCTCAAGGAGACTCTTGAGAGTCCCGTGGACTGCAAGAAGATCAAACCTATCCATTCTTAAGGAAATCAGCCCTGAGTGCTCACTGGAAGGACAGATCCTGAAGCTGAGACTCCAATACTTTGGCCACCTCATGAGAAGAGAAGACTCCCTGGAAAAGACCCTGATGTTGGGAAAGATGGAGGGAACAAGTCGGACACGACTAAAGAAACACAATTGCCATGCAATTTCTAGCTTGGCCCTTTCTCTAAAGTGAAGGTGGAGCCAACCAGGTGAAAATCAATGCTGACAGAAAAATCTGTTTCCTGGATTACTGGGGAAAGCTGAGGTGGAGAGAGCGCTGTCATGTTCTGGTTCTGCTTACAGGTTTTCCATGGGCATCTGGCTGGTGTCAGTGTGCTGGACTAGACATCCCCTTGTTTTGATCCAGCAAGGCACTTCTTATGTTCTTTTTTAATGTTTTTTAATTTTTCTAATTTACATTAAATTCATATTATATTTAATATTCATTTAATCAACCTTAAATCAATGGCTTCCGTTCTTCTCTTTCCGTGCTTCATTTTGCATACCATACATCCCTGCATATTTTACATGAACTAAACCATTCAGGAATCCATTGTTACATCCATCAAAACTTATTTACACTGTTGAATTAATCTTAATGCTACCAGCGTTTTTAAACACAATTTTCACCCACAATTTTCAGTAAACATTTTCCAGTCTTCTTTAAACGTACGTTCTTCTTGTTCTATTATTCTATATGTTAAATCTGCAAC